ATACACTTATTTTCACATAGCTATGAGAAGCGTTAAACATGGATGCGTGTGCAGTTGCCGTACTGTATTAAAGTTTTAATCAGGATAAAACCGTATATTAAAAGCTAACATAAGCAGTAGCATTTACAAATACCAGCGTATCTAAAAGTATGAGACAACAACAAACAAAAAACATAGGCCTACCATTAAAAGCCGTGCTTGCACAGGTTCTGCACGATCCTCTTCAATAATATCCTCTGCTTCTCAATCGGGCTCAAACTGATAAGCGATATTAACGACACGTTGTTTACAATACAACCGGAGCACATGCTTCTGAGGTGAGGGGCAGGACGATTAGACGCGCACTAGAGGCGGTTTAGCCAATGACAACACACTGGGCTAGCTAACCAATCAGAGCCCATCGCCTATTTCTGAGGGAGGGGCTTCATAAAAGCAGGAAATGATCAGCGCGTTTCTCAGAGAAGGGACAGAGCAGCGTGGAATAAAGGTAAATTATGTGAAAAATAATGCGTTTTTTTTTAAAACGAAGCATTAACACATGTTAGACTGCACCCCATAAACACAATCAAGCCTAGAAAAAAACCACTGAACCACCCCTTTAAAAAAACTGAAATGGTGGTGTATATAAAAGAATTGGAAATGAATTTATTTATGCTTATTTAAATCCATTTTGTGTAAAAACAATGAGCCATATTAGCCAAATCCCATCTGTTATTGCTTTGTTATTTGCTTCTTTTATATTTTACCGTGATGGCTTTCTCTCAGGATGGCCCCAGAGGTTGCAGCAGTGGAAAGGAAAGGAGGTTATAACCAGCTGTGTGACATCTGGGCTGTGGGTATCACAGCTATTGAACTAGCAGAGCTGCAGCCGCCCATGTTTGACCTACACCCTATGAGGTGTGAACACACACACACACAAATAAGGGCCTTTCGCACCGCTTTAGTTCCAGAACTAAATGTACAGTACTAAAGTACTGGAAAAGTGGGTAGTTCCACAATTAGTTCTGGTACTATGAAAAGGTTCCCGCGGTGCGAAAGGCCCTATAGACACACATGTAAACCCTTGCTAAAGGACTAACACCCTTTGATAGTAGTCACACTACAAAAGACATTCGCTTTTGTTAAAGGTACAGTAAGCGATTTCATTTGTTTTGCTAATTTCATCTCCAGACCCGGAGATCGGCTGAATGGATTCGAAAACGGTAAAACTCAACTGTTTAACTCTAGGGGAGTTGGAAAATGAGCCTATTTTCAAAAATAATGGAGTGTTCCTTTAAGCCAGTCAAACCTTGACCCCTTGGCAAAAGCGAAACATGTTTTCACATGCTGCAAAGAGTGATGAAAGCTTGTCTAAAACTCAAACAAAAAGACGCAACGTTTCATAGACATTGTCCTTTAGATTGAAAGGTCGAAATGAGATTTGGCGGCAGAGAACAAAAACGTCTTTGTTGTTTCGCCCTCAGAGCTTTGATGCTGATGTCCAAGAGCAGTTTCCAGCCTCCCAAACTCAAAGACAAGAACAAATGGTAATATGCATGAAATGTAACTGTTGATTTCCCTCGTCTTTGCATAAATAACAAAGTATTCGGTTCAATAAAAGCAAGCTCATTTATCAGGTCCACAGAATTTCACAACTTCATTAAAATGGCTCTCACAAAGAGCCCTCGGAAAAGGCCGACAGCAGAAAAAATCCTACAGGTACATGTTAACTATATCTGTGTTGAATATCATTTTAATGATATGATATCCTTGTGGTTTATCTTTAATGTACTGTAGGGGCTCTCGATACTGTCTTATTACTGGAATCATATAATTTTTGTTTCCTCTGTCTTTTCAGCACGCTTTTGTCACGCAGCTCCTCACACGTAACCTTGTTATAGAGCTGCTGGACGCCGTCAGTAACCCTGATCTGCAACAGACACACACTATGGATGAGAGTGACCTGGAGGTGAATGGAGCGCAATGAAGATATTTCCTTTAAAATGGGGAAGCATGTTTTATTTCAGAGCACTTTCGATTAAAGCTGAAGTGTGTAATGCTTTTAATGTTAAAATACTTTCTCCCGATTCTACTTCGGTGAGAACTAGGCTGAAAGTGTAGAAACTGTGGCTCTGTGGTGCTTAAAACAGCTGTTTGTTTGAATGGTCCAACATCTCCATCATATTTAGAAAACCTGTTGGAAACAGGATCAATGATATAATGCTCATTTGTTTATCCAGATCTATTAATTTATTTGAAATTATAAAAGAAAGTAATTTTGGAATTATTTTGGGGGGCATCAAGTCATACAACAATTCTGAGATCAAAATAAAGAAAAAATAAAACCTGAAAAAGGATTAATTCTTAGAAAAATGAAACCGTTTTGTTAAAAAATAATAATAATTAATTATAATAATAATAATAATAAGGCGGTGGTGTGGTGTAACCCCCAAAATAATGTAATGATGTTGAAACAATAATGTTTATTATAAATAAATATAAAATCATCAAATAAATGTGTGATTTGCTTTACAAAACAAACAAAAGCACTTTTTAGCTTGAAAAATATACATTTATAATATAAAAATATACATGTATGGCATTAATTCTTAGAAAAAATGAAACAGTTTTGTTTAAAAAAAAATAAAATAAATAAATAAAATTACAATAATAAGGCTGTGGTGTGGTGTAACCCCCAAAATAATGTAATGATGTTGAAACAATAATTTTTATTATAAATAAATATAAAATCATCAAATAAATGTGTGATTTGCTTTACAAAACAAACAAAACACTTTTTAGCTTGAAAAAAATACATTTATAATATAAAAATACACATGTATGCCATTAATTCTTAGAAAAAATGAAACCGTTTTGTTTAAAAAATTATAATAATAATAATAATAATTAATTATAATAATAAGGCTGTGGTGTGGTGTAACCCCTAAAATAATGTAATGATGTTGAAACAATAATTATTATTATAAATAAATATAAAATCATCAAATAAATGTGTGATTTGCTTTACAAAGCAAACAAAACACTTTTAGCTTGAAAAATATACATGTATGGCATTAATTCTTAGAAAAAAATGAAACAGTTTTGTTAAAAAATTATAGTAATAATAATAATTAATTAATTATAGTAATAGGGCTGTGGTGTGGTGTAACCCCCAAAGTAATGTTATGATGTTGAAACAATAATTATTATAAATAAATATAAAATCATTAAATAAATGTGTGATTTGCTTTACAAAACAAACAAAACACTTTTTAGCTTGAAAAATATACGTTTATAATATAAAAATATACATATATAGCATGTTTGAAAATAACGACTGAGGTCTGAACACATTTTCAAAATATACAAAATTTATTTTTTATTTATTAGAAAACAAGTTATCTTTTTTGACTTGTTTACAAGTCATTTTTTATATTTTATTACGTTTATTATTATTTTATTTTTTAAACACTTAAAAACTATATGATGAATACAAAGAATATGTTTCTTAAAGCTCATTTGTCATCGACCCAGGAATCATTATTTTTGCAGTTCTATTTGGTGCCACGAATGGTACAAAAGATTACACACTTCACCTTTAATACTCAAACAATCAAACACCAAAATGGTACATAGACAGTACCATGGCTATAAGCTGACATGTGACATTTTTTAGCATTACTTATCTGTACTGTGGTTGTTTACTGTAAGGCAGAGGTCTTCAACCCTGCTCCTGGAGACCCACTGTCCTGCAAAGTTCATTTCCAGCCTGCTTCAGCACACCTGCCTGTTTATTCCCAAGTGATCCTGTTTGATTAGGGTTGAACTCTGCAGGACAGTGGGTCCCCAGGAGCAGGGTTGAAGCCCTCTGCTGTAAGGTAAAAGATCTTCATGTGACTTTAGAGATTATGTCCATGGATTATGTGTCTGTGTGTTTACAGACGTGTAGCGTCCTACCTGATAAGATTCATTCCCTAGCGAAACTTCCCGTTCAGAGAACTCGGTCTGAAGAGCAATGTGAGTCATAATCTAATACACAGTAAAAGAACTATCTTTTTGTTATTAGTGATCTTAGCAGTATGTTATTGCATCCAAATGGCAGATTAGGCATGACGATGAGTAAGTGACGACAGAATTTTCATTTTTTGGTGAACCATCCCTTTAAGTGGTATTTAAGCATACCATGTAAACATTCACTTTGCATGTGCAATGATTAACAACATCAAAATGATTAACTGCATTCACAAATACACGGTGTTTACTGTGTTCTGTAAATGTCAATCATTAATGTATCCTTTTAATGTTACAAAAATCGGATTTTTGCAACTTGATTTCAATAAGCTTTGAGTTCTGAAAGTTAAAACATATTTAAGTCAAGTCACCTTGACTTAAATACAGCGCTTTATACGATACAAATAGTTTTAAAGCGGAAAAAATAACAGAATGATTCAAACTTAATCAGATATGAGAGCAGCCCTACAGAAGACAATAGTGTTGTTATTCAGCGCAAGTCAGTTCAGTGTTGATTCAATTCAGTTCAATAAGTGTCAATGTTGCTAAATTATGAAACAAATTTGATTCAGCTATAAAGCAGCGCTACAGAAGACAATAGTGTTGTCATCCAGCTCAATTCAGTTCAAGTATTGTTCTCATCAGATAGTGTCACTGCTGTCAACAATTGACATTAAAACTCTTTTATTTCAAAAGCTTTTTCTTTAAATGACCCCTTTAAAGTTGCTTCTGAAATTTGCAGTGACTCATCATATCCTCTCTAACAGTGTAATGACAGGACTCTAGAGTAATATGACCGTTATGACCTCACCTCACACGTAGTAAACGGCTAATCAGGAGTGACTAAGAATGTGACATTAGTCAGTGAGCGCAATTGTTGTGGTTTGGAAGATTACAGCAAGCCACAAGCCAAGGTTAGTTGGACAACAGGCGCTATTGTAATTGAAAAGCCACTCTAGAGCTATGAAAGGACGTATTGTGTGTGTTTCTGAGTGTGTCTTTAGGTTCATGAATGCATGAGTGTGCATCCAAATCTGCTTGTTAGAGTGTCACGCAGACAATACTATAGAAAGTGGCGCGTTATACTCCTACCACACGATTGTATGTGAAAGGGGAAGCATGCTGCAGTTGAATACAGTGATTCTGTTTGGTTCAAGAGCTTGTGATTATCGCTTTTTCTGTTTTCCAGTTGATCACGTGAAGTTTGGACCACCCATGAGAAAGGAGACGGATCCCTGTCCCGATCTGGTGAGAATAAACATTTGAAAGAAATGATAAAACAATGCTTATGGAATTACTTATTGGTTTCCTGTTCTTCATTAGGGGGCGTATGATGACTGGAGCTCTATCAGTGCGGACAAGGACTCACCGTGGGTTATATTTCACTCTTGCCCGTCTAAAATAATGGTGTCAGTAGTAAATGTTGAGTTTGATGTGCTAATGCATGTAGGTCATTCAAAAATATTGATTGGCTGAGGGGTTTGACATCCTCCAATCACTGTTAAAAATTTAAAGGGGTCCTATTATGCTTTTTCACTTTTTTAATTTTAGTCAGTGTGTAGTGTGCACCCCCAAAACTAAATCAAGACTTTGTAAAAGAGCATAATAGGACCCCTTTAATTGGATACATTTCTTGTTAAATTAAGGTATTAAGAAGCACTAATATGACTTTATCCGTCTCAGAAACAGGAGTTTTAAGGGTTGCATTGCTTTTTTTTACTATTTATTTTGCAGGAGTTTGTTAGAGTGTGTGGAAGAGGCCTTGATGGAAAGGTGATCTGGCTTTTTTTTAATGTCTTGACACACAGATTCAGACAAAGCTAACTATTGTTGCTCATCATTATGAATGTACACTACAAAAACATTCTGAATCAGATTGTTGTTGTTACTAGTAAAAATAGATAAATAGAGCAAGGTTCGTCTCATACAATTTGCCTTTATAAGTTCCCTTTGGCACAAATATCCACGTTAACTATACTTTTAAGTTTTTTTTTTTTATACACTTGTGATATTAATCTATAATGAAGTGATAAATAATGAGAGTACTTATGTATAGTTGATTGTTTCTATGGTGTCAAATTTGATATCTGTTCACTAGAATTAAAATATCCATTTGCATAACTTTTGTGGTTAATGAAACATTTAGAAAATAATTATATTATACACTTACAGTAAATCAAAAATATTAAATGCTATACTTGTATTTAAAAAGATTTTTTATTTTTTTAGTTTACCCCTTTGGTCCCCCAAATATAGCCTATTTGGTTACCACCTTGTTAAGACCTTACAGTTTTGCATATCAGAGAAATGTCCACTTTTTTTTTTTAACGAATTTTTCTATATTTTGGACTAGAAAAACAAGACAAATATGCTAATGAATTTTGAATTAGCTAATTAGATTTTCATCACTAAAATGATGAAATGTCTAACATCCTGCTTCCTCTTTTGCAGGAGTTTGACTATAAAGAGAGGCTCTTCAGCTGAGGTAATGAAATAAAAGTTGGAAAAGTCAAATGTCTTCTAGAATAACTGAATTTATGTGCGTTTAATCCACAGCACTCACTGGATGAAGAGAATAAATATGGGACGGTGAAGAGAGTGGTCTCTTCTCCCCAATCAACAACAGTCAACAATCAAGAGAGAAAAGCTCCCACTCCCTGTTCCCTCTCCACGCCTCTGAAGGGCCCCATCCCTGACTCTAACCCCGCCCTAATCAGTGAATCCGCTTTGCTGATTGGTTCAACGCTGTCTGACCTGTCACTCCTCGCAAACTCCTCCTTCCTCAGTCATTCCACCAGTCTAGATTCCCTTTGTTCAACACCAACTGAAGGTGAGATATATACGTCAAATTATGAGCATGTACTAATGACCACACGTTTACAGCAGAATACCTCCGTTTTAGAGAACAGTTCTGTTTTACTAATTAGTTTTAGTGATGTTAAATGGACATTAATACCAACATCACTAATAGCCTACACTTAACTCTATATGCTTTGTGCTTTTATGCTGTTAAAGGGATACTCCACCCAAAAATGAAATATCTCTAATCATTTAACTTCCCCTCATGCCTTCCCACCTATGACTTACTTCTTTAGATGAACCAGAAACGATGGTTTAAAAAGTTTAAAATATTAGTATTTTTCTTACACACACCACTGTAGTTTGCTAGTTTCACCCTCAGTTGAAACCGTAATAACAGGATACTGGCGAAACAGATTTGGCAACCTCTCCAGTGCGTATTTGTGTTTGCGCTCTGGAGAGCATCAAAAGTTTCTATTTACAATGTGTTGAGCAATGTAGCTAATCATATTTGTGGATTTCCTGCACACCTCTGATTGACCATTGTGTTCAAGTTCGTCAGAATTCACTCACCGCTCAAAACTGGATATTATTTTTAAAGCTCTGCATGCTCACGAATCCACTTCAGAGCTTTAGAAGACACTTTAGAACACCTTAGCAACCATGTAACAACACACTTAAAACCCACTCATAACACCCTAGCAACCATATAGCAACACATTTAAAACCATTCAGAACCCATTAGCAACTGCAAAGCAGTTTCATGGTTTGAGGTTTCTGGGTTTTCATCCCATATGTTGAACTGTTAGGCCACACCACCCAGTGAGATTAATATAGAGTTAGTGGAACCCCAGTAATACCAGCCTAAAATCCAAACACTGATGCAGTCGCTGTGTTCAACAGGTTTGAAAGCAGAGAGCTCTGTCGCTCCAGACCCAGGAGGAACCAGGAGTCATTTTCCCCCACATGACCCCCCTCTCTCTCCAGAATGGAGCACACTCAGGAGGAAACCAGACGACTTGGTGAGTAAATAAAAAAAAATCACACAGGTCAAATCATATTTAGCCTTCATGACTTGATGAGAGTCTGTTGGAGGGTCCAAACCAGGGACTGCTGGCCAAAGTTGCCTGAGATGCCATATCACAATAGAAAGAAAAATCAGGCCATTGAAACATCTTCATTTATAATTTATATTTCATTTTTTGCATTAAAAAAATAAAATGTTATACATTTTAATATACTATAGTTAAATATAATGCTATATTTACTATTGACCCATGGCCTTCAGTCAAGTTTTGGCCCTTTGTATTAAAAATGCGGCCACCTCTGGTCCAAACAATGGCAGACTTTCATTGGCCACTCACACTTCATTCTCTTTTCATTGATTCCAGAAAGTTGTCCATGGACTAAAGAGTGTGTGAGATTTTCTTTCTTTTCCAGTTGCTTCCTCAGAGATGCAGTTGGTTGTACGTGATGAACAATGTCCTTATGTCCATCTCAGGCATGTGCAATGTTACTAATATGACCGCATTTAATGTACCACAAAGATCTGATGTCTTCATTAACTCTCTGGCTGGTGCCCTGCTGTCCTCTGTCCACAGGAAAGTCATCACAGTTGACTTCTCATAGTCTGCCGGCCCTCTTTGAGTACCGCAGGAATATGCAGCGTAGACAGGGGCATCTGGTGATGAACGCACACCGCTTGAGCACAAAGATAAGCGCAAGGTTTGTCGAATTCAACAGTTTATCTGTGAATGCTCATGATGGTCATTCATGAGGTTACATGAACTATTATTCTTGGTTGAGACCGACACACTGGGTTAAAACTAAAACCCACAAAGAGCAAAATTTTGCTCATTTAAACGTCTTCCTTCAGTTGGTCTGATCTTACAATAAAGTAGACTCTAACACTGTTCATAAACAATAATTTAATAATTGTTTTAAAGGGGTCATGAACTGCCGTTTTATTATTTTGTACTGTTCTCTGAGGTCCACTTATAATGTTATCAAGATTTTTACATCAAAAACATCATAATTTAGAAGTAATAGGCTGTTTTCCGTCCTGTTTTGACCTCTCATCAGAACGCTCTGTTTGAATAGGCGTGGCGGATTGTAGACTCGGAAGTAAACGCCCACTGCCATGATTGGCTAACAGTTGTGTATGTTTGACAGCCTATATCCTTCATAGATGGACGCTGCTGTGATTTAGGTTAAAAACGCATAAATACTCAGTACATTTCAAATGATCTATAATAACAGACTAAGCAATAGTGATCACGTAATAAAAAACAGTTACTCACACTTGTGTGGTGCGACATACTGTCGGATCCAATATATTCAGCACAGCATTGTCTTTCAATCTCTCTGAAAATCCTGCGTCGCATTGTGCCTTGTTTGTAAACAAATCCACGGTGAAATGAAGTGAACAAAGGACCAAGTTCTTACTGACGTGGTTAAATTAAAATTCGTTAAAATTAAAGTTCATCCACTCTTTCCTAATGTTGGGGTCAGAAGGAAGGCAATGCAAAGACTGTATTTTTCCACAACTTGGCACTGCGTAGGGCTGGGCAATATAGCTAAAAAAAATATATTAAAGATATAATGTTTCATATCGTTCGGTATCGATAATTATTGACATTTTTTATAACCTTTTTTTAAAACAAAGAGCAATAGACATTTTTTTTTTTATTTAACCACTGTATTTTTAAATTAACCCAATTTATTGAGACAGACAACAAATATTTTTAGTTTTAACAGTCAAACACACAATAAAAATTAAACAAATATCTAATTTCTAATGTTTTATATGCAGATTAAATAGGTCTTAAGGAAACTTTTGGCTTGTCTCCCGAGGCCACAGGAGGGTGCAATGAGCAAAATAATGCAGCGCATTTAATAACTGTATTAAAAAAAACGTGCTTCACGTCTAAATTAACTCATATAAATCAAATATAATTTCGTAAATTGCATAAACAATTATGAACAAAACGGCATCATGTATTTATGAACATTTGATTGTACTATTTTTGCATTCAAATGCAAATGTTTATTTTAAATTCGACTAATATTCATTTTTTTTATTCACAATCTCCTCATCACAGGCAGGCACAGCACTCAATTCAGCATGTGTTCGTGTTTGTGTGTGCTGTCTTTGTCACTCATTGCACGTGCCTATATTGTGCGCTATATCAAACATTTTTATATCGTTATCGAAGAAGGTGTACCATCGATAAATATCGATACCGTTTTATCGCCCAGGCCTAGCACTGCGTCTTGTTGACTTCGGAGCATCTTTATCGTTTGATTCTCTCGTTATTTACACTACATGCGTGAATCGGTGGGAGGGGCTAAACAGGCAGTGATGTGGACTAAACAGGCAGTGATGTAGTAGCAGGCGTTGATGATCTTCTGCGGAGGCGGGGTTTAGCCACACTATTATGTCATAAAGTGGCACATTCCACAACCTGTCGTTTTGGCAGATTGGCTTCAATATAAGCTGTTTTAGACTAAAGAGAAAGTTTTGAGTTCTGAAACTTACAGGCTGTTTTTAAAGTACAATGACCTCTTATTTGTCAAAAGATCAAGGGAATTTTGATTTCTCACTTCATGATCCCTTTAAGAAATCACATTTCTACACATTTCTAAAACCAAAAATTTTATTTTTATATTATTTTTAGCCAAATAAGTGCAGTAGCTGAGATTTTGCTGTCTCTCTACTTTGGAGATGAGACATCTTTTCAGGGTTATACACACAGTATTCATTACATTTAAATTTTTAAGGTGATGTGTAACCTATTAAGTAACAATTGTTTAAAAGTTTGGGGTCATTGGAGATTTTTTGTTAAAGAATTAATACTTTTATTCAGCAAGAATGCATTCAATTGACCAAAAGTGACAGTAAACCATTTATAATGGGAAATATTTTTATTTCAAATTAATGTTGTTCTTTTTTATTCATCAAAGAATATTGAATAAATGTATCAAATTTTCCACAAAAATATTAAGCAGCACATCTGTTTTTCAGCATTAATAATATTAAGAAATGTTTCTTGAGCAGCAAATATTAGAATGATTTCTGAATGATCATGAGACGCTGAAGACTGAAGTAATGATGCTGAAAATTCAGCTTTGATCACAGGAATTAGATTTTAAAATATATATATTTTTTAATTATAATATTTTAAAATATTTATTTTTACTTTGATTCCTTGATTTATTTGACATGCATATGTATTTTCTTACATTTTATTTGTTTAAATTTCATTTATCCATAGCTTTGTCGTTAAGTCAGTTCCTTTGGATTAAAGGGTCTGCTAAATGGTGGTAATTCTTATATTTCTCTAGGAAGTATGCCATGTCAGTAAAGATCCCAGACACCAAGGGCTGTAGAAGATGCAGTGTGGGTGAGGACCAGTGACCTCTGTAGGTGTGTGAATCATTCTCTAGGCATTTCGTGCACATTTTAATGTTTATTTCTCTGCTTCCAGTTCGAAACCCCTACACTGACAGCATTTTCCTTTGTGCCGTTGTTCCCACTGGTTTGGTCCTTCTAATGTGGTATGAACCTCTGCAGAAGTTCATGCAGCTCAAGGTGAGAAATGAGAGATAAGAGTAATGGAAATGTTAAAAATATCTTGCACTGTTGCGAAACTTTCCTGTCTCTCTCCCTCTCTCTTTCTCTCAGCACATTGCTCTGAATCTGCCAGAGTCTCTGCCCATCTTTGAGCTGCTCGTAAAGGAAACAGAGGAGCTGCCACAGGTCTGTGTGGGGGTGAGAAGCCATCCCCGCCAAAAAGACAACACTGGACAGATGCACTTTGACATCATCCACCTGGATGACACACCACAAAGTCTGCCAGGTGTTGCACTGTGTGGATAAATCAACAATCACACACAAAACACTGAAAAATCACTGTGCCACATGCATTTTACGATGGAAACAATTTATAAGAATCTTTCAAATGAACTATATGATTTTCATTAGACTGATCAGTAGTGCTTTGTTTGACTGATTTATGTGACTTCACAGATGGTGAGTCTTTGGAGGCCAAACAAGTGATTCAGCTCGACAGGGACACAGTTCTCATCGCACTGAAAAGTAAATTGCTTGTTTTCACTGAATCATTTGAAGCACTTTGTATGTATGCTCAAACTGGTTTAGAAAGTCATATTTTATATTATCCATGTCCCTCGTGTCTCTTAAATAATGACATTCTTGCTTCATCCATGACTTACTCTTTGAGTCAATGACAAATAAGAGTGTCTAAAACACAGAAAAGGAAAAATCTTCCTTAGAAGTTCTTAGAAATGTGTTCTTTGTATTCATGTTGGTTTCATGTGGTTTTGAGAAACTTTTACATCATTTTCAAGAAAAAATGTCATGTGGTGCAATCAAAAAAAGTGAATACCATATTTTTCTTATACTATGAATACACAAGTATACACATCGTAATTATTATTGTGAAAAAATTAAATATATTGTGAAAAAAAGTTTTACAATATATTTTTCAACACTTTTTTTCTTGACAAATGTATGAATCATTAATAAAATTTTCATAAAATATCTGGCTTTGGGGGGTTTTACCAGATGACACCCACTCATTAGAGCCTTCTGGAGTCCTCTGTGCTGTAATGTCCTTTTTCAAGGGTCCCTTTCTTTCCTCACATTTCTGCATGTTGGTTGCACCACATGACATTGTTGGTCGCACCATATGACCCATGTTGACTTTATGCAGTGTCATGCCCCATAAACTTTCATTATAAGTGCATTACTGTCAATTAGTGATTGGAGAACCTAACCTTTTCATAGCTTCGAATCAAATGAACCAATTGCTTCGCAAAATGATTCACTGTTTCGAAGCGCTCAAAACACCACACTCTGGTGACGCCTGCTGGTCAAAACTGTGTAAATGCAACAAAAAAAAACATTTTTTACAAACCCAATGCAAATGCTTTCTTAAAAGTATAATATATTAAATGCAGTCAAAATAATGAAATACCATTAAATATGAAGTGTCTGTATAAAATGTGTTTTTAAAATAATTATTATTAATTTGCAGGGCTTGTTTTGTTTGTTTTATGGAGAGCTTAAACAGACCAGTAAGAGACTACAACTCATCCTTTTAATTACACAAATGGCTCGTTAAAAATGTCTACAAATTGATAAAACTGATCTGAGATCAGAGACGATCAATGGTTCGCCGCTGGGAGGTGAGCTCAATGAACTCGCATGATTCACGGATTCACAGAGATCGCCCCCCAAAGGCACACTCTGTGGTTTTTAAAATATTTTATATTAATTTGCAGGGCTTGTTTTGTTTGTTTTATGGAGAGCTTGTATATAGAGACCAGTAAGAGGCTATACACTACTTCTCATCCTTTTAATTACACAAATGTCTCGTTAAAAATGTCTACAAATTGATAAAACTGATCTGAGATCAGAGACGATCAATGGTTCGCCGCTGGGAGGTGAGCTCAATGAACTCGCATGATTCACGGATTCACAGAGATCGCCCCCCAAAGGCACACTATTGAAATTTTGAAACAGTTATGACGTAACGAAATGATTCACTGTTTCGAAGCGCTCAAAACACCACACTCTGGTGACGCCTGCTGGTCAAAACTGTGTAAATGCAACAAAAAAAAACATTTTTTACAAACCCAATGCAAATGCTTTCTTAAAAGTATAATATATTAAATGCAGTCAAAATAATGAAATACCATTAAATATGAAGTGTCTGTATAAAATGTGTTTTTAAAATAATTATTATTAATTTGCAGGGCTTGTTTTGTTTGTTTTATGGAGAGCTTAAACAGACCAGTAAGAGACTACAACTCATCCTTTTAATTACACAAATGGCTCGTTAAAAATGTCTACAAATTGATAAAACTGATCTGAGATCAGAGACGATCAATGGTTCGCCGCTGGGAGGTGAGCTCAATGAACTCGGATGATTCACGGATTCACAGAGATCGCCCCCCAAAGGCACACTATTGAAATTTTGAAACAGTTATGATGTAACGAAGCCTCGTTTACTGAAATCACGTGACTTTGGCATTTTGATACGTGCTCCGAACCACTGTTTCGAAACAAATGGTTCGCAAAGGTTTCGAAGCTTCATGAAGCAGTCTTTCAAAAGCGGCCATCACTACTGTCAATACAGTTTCTGTGTTTTTACAAGCCAAGGAACCAAATCTATTAACACACCATTTTGTTTCAGACACAGTGAGAGTTGTGAATCTTCAGGGATGTCTGAGTCATCAGAAGACCTCTGAACTTGCTTTTGAGTTTCCCATTCAGACGCTGGGTAAGGACATGATGCATCAAGCCGGCCATCAGCCAATGCCAGGCCTTCTTTGAGCATCTTTCAGCCTAGTTTTTGCAGTACAACTGTCAGCAGCTTTTTGGCCGACTGAGTGTGTTGAGCCAGTCAGTGAGAGAAATCACTCTGATTGGCTGTTCAGCTTAGCGAACCAAGTTCACAAAAAGAAAAAGAAAAGTCAAGAGGGCACATACAGAAGGCTCTTCTAATTTTATATCTGCCAACACACGTTTTCATTTTACTGACTACTGCCACCTACTGGTATGGAGAGTATTTGCGCTCACACAGGTACAGAACTATACGATGTAGACTTTGTGGTAACATTTTGGCTAAAAGATGATGATGACACACGGTCAGATAAAATGCAGATGAATAGGATCCAGCACCTCTTGGTTCTTGACTGTTTGTGCAGATCCAGTATCTCTCATCAGAATAGGTGTTATAGGTGAAAGTTAAACAGACGCTGTTAAATAGAATATTGGTTGTGATGACAGAAAGGGGAGGATTACTGATACAAATGATCACAGTGAGGATACTAGCATGTTCTTTTTTGCCCTCCTGTCCATAAATATGCTATTTGCATCAACACAGTATCATTGGGCATTATTTGCGAATGACGCGTCCTCAGTATTTGATGTTGACTGGCAGGAACATCCATCAATGCAAACTACTGTACTTGACTTCATTAGTCAAATTTTGATGTTTTGAATTGAAAATATGTCATTTATGATTATTTATGAATATATCATGACTGTGTAATTTGAAAATGAATGGGAGTAGCCTAAAACTATTTTTGATTCTTGCCACAATATTTAGATCACCATTAGATTGTGGCCATCTATCTATTTGGAGTCTGTTGAATCTGGTGGTAATGTGGTTGTCTTTTGTAGTGTGTCTACAGGACAGTGTTCTTGTCTTCTGGAAACATGGTCTGAAAGGAAGGAGTTTACAAACTAATGAGGTAAACCTGTCGTCTACAACAATGATGGCTTCACTGATGTATGAGGAAGGAAGAAATGACGGAATATTATGCTGTTCCCCTCAGGTTACCCAGGAGATCACTGACAGAAGTCGAGTTTTTCAGGTTTTGGGAACAACTAGGTATGTTGTTTTCCCACTGTAGTTTAGCAACACGTTTGGTAATAAATTGAATCATATACTAAATTGTAAATGTTACTACAGGGATATTATCTTGCAAAGTACTCCTACGGATGATCCGTCTGCCATGAGCAACCTGTACATCCTCACGGGGCATGAAAGCAGCTACTGATGGGACGGAGACACTGAGAATGTTGAGCAAGAGCTGGAAACACTACAAAGGTTGATAGTCCTCCCTTCCCTACTGAGAGGGTAGAGTCATCAGGCCCAAAAAGCTCCAGGAACAGAGGAAAACATGATGAAGTCACGTACACAGGTCTCCAGAGCCTTTGAGGACAGGAGGCAGAATTGGAGCTGATGTGGAGGCACAAGGATCAACCATGAGAGAAAGTGACCTGTGGACCTGTATACTATGTTTGAAACAACTTGTGAAACAGGCTGCTATGGGTCACTGACTAAACTAATGAGATGTTCTATTTAATACTAGACAGTCTGTTGTATTCCTTGTTTCAGGAAATATCGTATTATATCAACATGTTTTGGTGCAGTGGTTCAGAATTATCTTCCATTGACCAGTAAATTAGTTGATAGAATGTTGTCAACCATTGTACTGTAAAACCCACAAAAACCAAAACTGTGAAATAAATTAAATAAATGTAAACGACAAGGATAATTTGATGAATAGTAGATTTCCTGTTGTAGTCTTGTGACTTGCACTGCACTGCCCAGTTTGTGTTGCTAGCAGTGGGTGTTTTAAATCACAGCACTAGCGGCCGCTGTTACTTTCTTGAGCTCTTTATTTTTTAAGTCTTGTCTTTTTTGGAGCGTCAATTTAAAAACAGGAAGCGCTTTACACAAGCGTTCAACAAGACGCGTTTAGGAAAGTAGCTGTAGTATTTACAGCAGTGTTAGCCTTATACCTGTCTGATAAAGTACTTAGCATCTGGTGGAAATTTGCAACGTACTTGCACCGTGTTTTTTAATGTTCTGCCAATGAAGAGTTGAATATTATATTCTCGGTATGAGTTTAGAGGTGGCTTGCTTGTCATTTCGCCAGCCGTACGCTACTCTTGTGTTGAATGGGGTGAAGACTATAGAGAGCCGCTGGCGGCCCCTGCTGTCAGAGCGGCGGAACTGCACGCTAGCGGTTCACATCGCTCAGAAGAGCTGGGAGGGAGAGGACTGGAGACTCATCCTCACTGAAAGGCTGGGAATGACAACCGTGCAAACGGAGCAACTGCTGGAGTCTGGAGAAAGGTTCGGGCGTGGTGTTATAGCAGGTGAAATATACATTGATTTGTTAATCATTTTAATGTTTGTATAATATAAAGATTTATTATGTGCATAATTTAAATACATGATATATATATATATATATATATATATATATATATATATGTGGGTCAAAGACGAAAAAGGGTTTAAGCATAAAAACAATAAGTGTAATACTGCGTTAAATTGTTGTTGTTTAATTTAATTGCAATTTTGTTTTTCTGAGCAAAAAGTAAACATAGATTTTTCCCTGATTTACAAAAGAGACCCACTAAAATGTCATTCAGTGTAACAGTCTTTTCAGGCATATTTACAACAAAAATTAATGTATGACATATTAAAAGACTAATTACTTTCACCCCAAATACTAATTAGTTGTAATTTTAAATTTTTAAAAATTTGCCACCATACTAGATTTTGCCCATTTGTCAGTACATTTTTTTTACTAATTTAAAACCCAATAAAATTTAATATGCTCCCTTATTCTTTTATACATTTTAATATGTACACGTCAGAATGAGCATGTTGTTTGAATTTTGACATAAATATCGTGTTACACTGAATGACAATGTAACATTATTTCAACCAAATTGTGACATTTTATTCTCCAAAAACGTATTTGAAACCTTAAAAGTAGACACTTTGCTTACATTTAATGGGCTTTCTATGGACATAAAATCACTTTTGTAAATTTCTTTTGATGAGGACATCTTAATGTCTTTGACCCACACACATAGACATAAGATAAATAGACCTAAATAAATAGTAAACTAATATAAGTTCATTCTTATTAAAGGTAGAGCTGAAACTTGAAGTACTTCTGTACTTTCTCAAGTCAACATCAAAGTTTATCTTTATTATAGCCTGCTTATAAATAAATATCAATTGATTGCAAATGATGATAGATAGATAGATACTGCAACATGATATACGAATATTTAAATTAGGTTATCAAAAAATATTATCAATTTATGTCTCGATTTAGCTCCTCATCAAGTGTTTCCTCTGCTTTCTGACGTTATTAATTTTGCTTATGTTTTTATGTGCCACTGAAGTTTGTGTGTACAACTAGTAGACAAGACCACCTAAACTGAGACTCAAGACCAGAGTGTGTTAAGACCAAACAAATTCATATGAAAGATCCACATTTAATGCCTGAGAAATATCTCATATTTAATCAATAAATACAATTAGAATAATAAGACACTATATAGAGCTGTTTTCCTCCCACAGCCCAAAGACGTGCAGGTTAGGTTAACTGAACATTCGAAATTGTCCCCCGGACGTGTGTGTAAAGACAAGACTTGTGTATGGATTAACAGGTTCTCGCCATGAATATAGCCATAGATGCTGGATTGGCGTTAAGAAAGAAATAAACAAACAATATAGAGCTGTTAGCAATCAAATGAAATCACTAACAACAGTAATTGTACAATTCATCTATGCACTGCAGAGGCAGCACAGAAGCTGCATTTGAATTGGGACAATTACAACTGCAGAAATATTGTTATGATCAATGTTTTTGAAATCAAATTTTGAATATAGAAATATGATGGAAAAATAAGACTAAAACTAGTAGGTGGCAGATCACTTGAGTGAGTCACGGAATATTTTATTCAAACGATTCGTTCAAAGCAGCTGATTTATTTAGTAATGAAACACACAACAGCTCTGCTATGGATTTGTTTGGAACTACTTCCCTTGCAGAAATGGCCAAAAAAATTATAATAATTTTTTTGCAATCATACCTTGAATTTTTGGGGCATTTGTATTAATTTTGGTGACTTTTTGACACAATTCCCCAATACATTTCTGACTGGCACAGTAGTATCATATGAAATCTAATTAAAAATAAGTTTGCATTTGAAGCAGTACATTATACACCATCAAATTATGCACTGGCAATTTAGTAATATCCCCGCAATTGCGGTCTTAAATGATCTTGAAATAAAATCCCGAGTCCTTTTAGTCTGACACCAAGACAAGACCGAGTACAAATGAGGTCGAGATTGAGACAAGACCAAGACCTTAAAAAAAATGGTCTTAAGACCACGTCTCGAGTGCTACAACACTAGTATTTACCATTGTATGCAGGTCTTGTGGATGTTGGGGAGACGTGGTGTTGTCCTGAGGATGTTCCCTGTGAAGAGATGAGAGAGCTGGAAACAGCAGCTTGCTTGACTGAACTCAAAATGAAATACCTCACAAGACTCTCAAACCCCCGGTGGCTCAGTGAACCAATATATTCTAGGGGCCATAAAGACGTGTGGACGGTACACATCCCAGTTCATCTCCTGCCCTCTGCTCCTTCTCATCCGTAACAGCAAAATATTCAGTTGTGTATTTGTGTCTGAGATGTGCCTCCCTGGAGATTTGCAATCCTATGTAATGTGTGCAAGTTGTTTTTTCAACATGAAATATAAAAAAGGCATTTGTTACATTTATAATGATGAGGTAACAGGGCTCTTGGAACATTAAAATGGTACACAAACATGTAGGCCTACGTGTTATTTCAGGGGAAGTGAGCATTCAATACTTCAAAATGGATCAATACATTTTACATTATGCGAGCATAGTTCATCTTATTTCTGTTTTCCTCATTACCTGGGCATCGCTGAGAAGCCAGGATTTGGGATTTGGAAAGGATTTGGATTTGGAGGAAGCCAGATGGGCATTCACCGGTCCGTTAACCCCCACACAATGCTATTAACATGTTCGCTTTTTTTCCTCAAAATCTGTTTTTTTTTTAATAATTGTTATTATATTATTTTTAAGCCGTATTATGTAATAAGGGTATATTAAATTATTTCTAAACATTGCCTGCCTGTTGCATTTTGGGTAACGTAGTAGATATTAGCGCTGGCGTGGCGTTGAAGACTGATAATTAATATTCATGAGCCTTGCGATTGGAACCTATCGACGCAACCTAATTAATATTCAGGAGCAAACCATCACCATTGGAAGGTTGTTGCAGCACAGACCTAATTATTATTCATGAGCGATTCCTTTCGACGTAGTAGGATTCATGATTTCGAGTCTCGGCGAGTCACAAAGTTTTAGAGGAAAGCGTTTGCGGAGCCAGACACACGATGAGCGTTGGATGTGCAACATAGCCTGATTTTGCCCGTCTGTAAGCCTACAGTAGAGGATGGATAAGCGACCGACCTCAGCACAGTCTAACGCTGAAACTCCAGACAGGTCAGTGCCAATAACATCCATTTTATAGTTTATGACACTGACACCCCATCTACACTGCTGGTGGATTATAATGGACGCGTTCTTGTAAATCGCGTTGTAGAGCTAGAGTGTCATAAACCAGGTGTTTTACTGCCTTCTAGTTACTGAGTGACTTGATGCAAACAAAACCCTTGGGCTAACTGTTTGAATGAAATGTTGTGTTATATTAACCAGACATGCAGATAAGAAAGCATTTGATCAACATGAGCAACACTGATGACTTTTAACCTTCATAATAAATTACTGGATGATGATCTTTATTAAGGGTGCACTCACATAAACAGCGGTTTTGAAAATATTAAAAATCACGAACGCTCGCGAGAGATGTATACTGGCAGACATATTAGTCTGTTTTGTAATACGTGGAGCGGGTCGACTCCTCACGGGCGCCGCTTTGTTGATATCACATGACCAAACCGTGTCATGTAATTGGCCGAGTTAATAGTAAAAAAAAATAAATAAAATAAAAACTAATTTTATTAAAGGGGTCATATGATGCAATTTCAATTTTCAATAATGTACAGTATTTGAAAAATAATGTTTTTTTTGAACATTAAAGCATGTCAACATATTCGGTTACACCAAATACACAAAATAATGATCTTTAAAATAGCATCATATGACCCCTTTAAGTCTACTTGCTATGGAAGCCCGTTTTTGCCACTGATTAAACATTTTAAAAAGCTAATTGTGAGTTTTTTTTCCCCTTGCAAGTTTACATCTAGGAATTCTCACTTTTTTCTCGGATCTGCATGAAATAAACTCACAATTGCGAGTTATAAATTCAAAATTGTGAGAAATAAAGTCGAAAATTGTGTGATAAAGTCAGAATTGCAAGGTATACACTCGTCTTTTTTCCTCAAAATTAGACAATGAGAAAAGAAGTCAGAATTGCAAGATACAAAACGTCAGAATTGTGAAAAAAGTCAGAACTTCGAAATATAAACGCAATCACGAGGGGAAAAAAAGTCAAAATTGTGAGTTTATAGGTTATCTCAGTTCTGAGAAAAGAAGTCAGAATTGCAAGATATAAACTCACAACGGTGAGGAAAAATTCAGAATTGTCAGTTTATATCCTGCCGTTCTGACTTTGTAACTCACAATTTTTATCTGGTAATTTGTAAAAGGTTGGAATTGTGAGATAAAAAGTCACGATTATCTTTTTAAAATTTGTATTATTCAATTATGGAAACAGGCAACAATAACTAAGCCAGTGCTCAAGATGTTTTATAAAGTAAGTATAAATATATAGTCCATCTAAACTACAGATGTACATGAGTGTCTGACAGCATAGTTCAGAATGATGAGTGCTGTTGATGTACTGGTACTATTGGGATGAATAAGAGCCAGCTGTATATTAACAGAAACTATGCTCTTCTAAGTATTTTACTGTCAGACATATACAGTATGTACAGACATATACTCACTAACACTTTCACATTATAGTCCCACAGGGGCTCATGTTGAGTGGTGTAAACAACTGATTGCAGCCACAATGTCAAGTCAGATCTCTGGACCCATCAGCTCAGAAATGATTTCCAGAGAGTACAAGGTATGAGTGTAAATACGTACTGGTATGTGTATACTTAAAATATACTTAAAACACTTTTTCTATTGATGCACAACACAGATCTCATATGGTTTGGATTGCATTAGCTTTACAAAAAGTATGTCTGCTTTCAGTTGTTATGTGGATATTCATGACACTTATGCACCCTGATTTATTCATGTTTTTGCTTATATTTCATCACAGTTTGGTAATTTGTAGAGGTAGAAGAGTGTGTACTGAAGCAAACAATATAACAAAATGGGTAAATGCTCACTAACTCAAAACAGGCTCTTGTTTTTCTCTATGCATTGCCAGAGATCTCCACCCAGTGCTTTTAGTTTATATACTCTTATGCAAGAGGCAGCACAGACAACTGCTGTTTTTGTCATGAAACCAAAGTGTATCAGAACATTGCTAGATTCAAGTCTTCACAGATACATAGTTCACATGGAAAAAGAAACTTATCTTAATATTTAGTCATTTTGTCACAAAACCCTTTCGGTGGAACTTAAAAGGTTAATTTTTCCTGGCCATATCCTAGGATTATAAAAGCATCATAAAAATAGTCCAGACAACTCAAGTCATATGATAGCTTTGTGTGAGGAACAGACTGAAAACAGTTGACTGGTAATTGTTGATAATCTTTTCTTTTGGGGTGGTGTTAAAAGGAATAGCTCACTCAGAAATTAACATTTGCTTAAAATCTACTCACCCTCAGGCCATCCAAGATGTAGATGAGTTTGTTTCCTCCTCAGAACAGATTTGGAGAAATTTACCAAATTTTCATTACATCCTCACCAGTGGATCCTCTGCAGTGAATGGGTGCCGTCAGAATGAACGTCCAAACAGCTGATAAAAGCATCACAATAATTCAAAAGTACTCCATTCTACTCCAGTCCATCAATTAACATCTTGTGAAGCGAAAAGCTGTGTGTTTGTAGGAAACAAATCCATCATTAAGACATTTTTAACTTTAACCCTTTGCTTCCAGCTAAAATATAAGTAGTCTATTCATAATATATGCTTTCTCCAGTAATTCAGATCTGAATCAGGAGAGAAATACGCACAGAACAAAGCACAATTTACAAGTGAAAACAGTTCTAAACCGTTCTATGTTGGTGGATTTTGATGTGAGAGGACATCAGGAGACTTTTTCACTGGAAGTAGTGTTATTATGGATTATACAGTCGTATTTTGGCCAGAAGAGACTGATAAAAAAAAAGTAATGATACTTTAAACATTGGTCCCTTATAAGTTGAGATCAACTGCAACTTTATTTATTTATTTTTTGGAATATATTTTATTTGTCAGTTTTTACAGGGATAATATACAGTCAACTAAGACAATCATATGTTGATTTCCTCAAAAACAGTCACTATCAGAGTGTTCTGTTCAGAGTTGTTGATGCAGAAACCTTGACTAACATCTAAGATCTGGGTAGGGAAAGTGCTAAAATGTACATGACCCCTTTTTACCTCATTACACCTGCATGGAAGTTTCTTGAAACGATTGCACTTCCACAAACTTTCTGGTGTGATCACATGCACTGTAATGTTTCTGCTCTTTCTTCTTTCTCTTTCCTCATCACTCTTTGTTTTTCTGTGGTGTTGTGGTGTTTCTTTGGTGCAGGACTGTGATGTGGAGGTTAAAGGATTTCTCTTGGACAGTGACCCTCAGCAGACTGCCTCCTCTTCGGCAAGTCTCTTTCTGTGTGTGTGTGTGTGTGTGTGTGTGTGTGTGTGTGTGTGTGTGTGTGTGTGT